CCGTCCTCCCTGGACTGACCTATCTCCTCCCTACCTCCCCACCTACAGTCACCTTTACCGGCTCCATCCCCACCTCTTTGACCGGTCTGTCTCCTCTCCACCACCTATCTTCTCCTCTATCCACTTTTTATCCGCCTCCCCCTTTCTCCCTATTTATTTCAGAACCCCCTTCCCCTCCCCCATTTCTGAAGAAGGGTCTAGGCCCGAAACGTCAGCATTCCTGCTCCTCTGATGCTGCTTGGCCTGCTGTGTTCATCCAGGTCTACACCTTGTTGTCTCGGATTCTCCAGCATTTGCAGTTCCTACTATCTCTCTCCAACTCAGAAGAAATTTGTTGCACCGACTAATTTTCCAAGATTTTAATTTGTTTATTCTAATTTGGATTGAAACTGTTCCTTAAAAATTTACGACATCCCTGAATGATCTGGTCATAGAAAAAACATTTAATAATCTGTGTCACTTTTAATCAACTACAATATAAAATGCAGAGTGCATTTCAGAAAACTGCACCTTCAGGACCTGATAGTATGGAGATTTACTGTGTCATCAAAACACAAACATACAATCGCTCCACTCAATTCCAAAACTGCATTACTATGAGAGATAGGATTAAATACAGGGAGTGAACTTCCCACGGCTCATAAATCCAAAGTTTCTAACTAAATACTGAAATGAAAATTAAGCAAACAAGTCGTAAGGCACCCAATTCAGACTAGCACAGATGAGAATTCAAACTGCAGTAGTGCACAGCTGGCTCAACATCCAAGGACAGAGAGAGTTCGGGTCAAGGTGATTAAAATATGTTGTTTTTTCCCCCTCCTGTTATTAAATTTCTGGTTATTTTAATTTAAATACAGATTTAATGGAATTATAAAATGATAAACAATTAAATAAAGTCTTGAGTTTGAATAACATTCTACTTTAGAAATATGGTGCAAGAGTTATATTTGGGTTGTTAATTTAAGCAGGAATATATTTCAGTACCTTATATTATTCTTAAGGATCTTTAGACAGCTGTAGCATTTGAAAGTTGTATTGGTCTTCTGATCTTGTTGATTTAGGTGGGCATTGCCATCATCTTTTCCATAGTAAAAGTCATTGACCAACATAATAAGTTTCCCTTTATCAATCTCCAACACTTTGTTTGCCGGTTGTTCGGATGATTGCACAGAACAATAGCTGGACACCAGATCTGGACAACAGAACTCAACAGGTACAAACAAATTGTGTTATCTATTTTCTGAGCTTTCAAAATAAATAATTTTAATATGATCACAACGGCTGTGCATAACGCAAGTTAAAACAAACATATGCCACTGGGAAAAATGTTGGTTAATAAAAGGTACACAACCATAATTATGACTTATTTGAAAATGCTGCTTTATAAAATTGCAATTTTAAGTTAATACTCAAATAATTACATGCACAATCTACAGCACACTCCACTTTCTTTGCTGAATAAATAATCAAAATACTTACAACCATATGCTGCCGCAAAGAATCCAGGACATTGAAGTGAATGTTGCACTTTGGACAAGCCCTTGGGACTGGTACACCATTTTTAATATTACTTTGCGGTCCTGGAAACATAATTTCATTTCATTTTAAATAAGTAATTCAACAGATCAGTGGAACTACATTCTCATTACAAGGGTCTCCGTGGAATCTGCATTAACTACGCTTTCTCAATTTATTGGTGTAATAAATGTTAGAAAAGAGAAAAAAAAAATGCAGAAACCTTTCCAAGTAGGCTCGCTTTGTCATTTCTCTGACTAAATCAAAACCTGGGTCATCCAACACAGGTCTGAATCCTTGCTGGAGGGGTGGCAATTCATTACAATGGAAGAAAACAGCTAGAGATTAGAACATAAGAACTAGGAGCAGGAGTAGGCCATCTGGCCCCTCAAGCCTGTCCCACCATTTAATAAGATCATGGCTGATCTTTTTGAGACTCAGCTCCACTTACCTGCCCACTCACCATAACCCTTAATTCCTTTACTGTTCAAAAATTTATCTAACCTTGCCTTAAAAACATTCAGCGAGGTAGCTTCAACACCTTCACTGGGCAGGGAATTCCACAGATTCACAACCCTTTGGGTGAAGAAGTTCCTCCTGACCTCAGTCCTACATCTGCTTCCCCTTATTTTGAGACGATGCCCTCTAGTCCTAGTTTCACCTGCTAGCGGAAACAACCTCCCTGCCTCCACCTTATCTATTCCCTTCATAATCTTATATGTTTCCGTAAGATCTCCCCTCATTCTTCTGAATTCCAACGAGTATAATCCCAGTCTACTCAGTCTCTCCTCATAATCCAACCCTCTCAACTCTGGAATCAACCGAGTGAATCTCCTCCGCACCCCCTCCAGTGCTAGTATATCTGTTCTCAAGTAAGGAGACCAAAACTGCACACAGTACTCCAGGTGTGGCCTCACTAGGATCCTATATAGCTGCAGCATAGCATCCTTGTTTTTAAACTCCATCCCTCTAGCACTGGCAGACATAATTCCATTTGCCTTTTTAATTACCTGCTGCACCTGCAATCCTACTTTTAGCGATTCATGCACAAGGACACCCAAGTCCCTCTGCACAGCAGCGTGCTGCAATTTTTTACCATTTAAAACATAGTCCATTTTGCTGTTATTCCTAGCAAAATGGATGACCCCACACTTATTAACATTGTACTCCATCTGCCAGACCTCTGCCCACTCACCGAGACGATCTATATCCCTCTGCAGACTTTCAGTATCTTCTGCACACTTGGCTCTACCACTCACCTGAGGGTCATCTGCAAATTTTGACACACCACATTTAGTCCCCAACTCCAAATCATCTATGTAAATTGTAAACAATTGCGGTCCCAACACTGATCCCTGAGGCACACCACTAGCCACTGACCGCCAACCAGAAAAACACCCATTTACCCCTACTCTTTGCTTTCTACTGGTCAACCAATCCTCTATCCATGCCAATACATTACCTGTAATACCGTGCAATTTTATCTTATGTAGCAGCCTTTGGTGTGGCACCTTGTCAAATGCCCTCTGGAAATCCAGATACACCACATCCACAGGTTCCCCATTGTCCACCATTCCCCACCCATTCTCAATAGAAGTGCAGTAATCCATTTAAATTTATAAAGCAGCTGTTGTTGTCCCTCATATTTTCTTGTCATTTAATTTTGAAGGACTTGGCAAAGGCACGGTAGTCACTGTAGCGATTGTAACAAGGCCAGCCAGGTGGACCTCAAAGAATATTGAGGCTGTTAATTTGGTCATATCAGAGAGCCCTGGCTGACAGATATAAACAGGAATGTGAGAGGTTCTGTTCACTCAGAGCTGGATCAGTATCAAGGACTCTCCATGTATAAATAAACAGTGACTTGGTGATCGGATACTAGCCTTTGTGAAGTTATTACTGGCAACGACAGAAAAGCATGCTCCTGAAGAAATTCACTTGCAACAGTCATCTTTGAGTTAGGATAAGCATTTCTGGCATCACACCATTGTTTGCGAAGCTTGACTTGTGCGATTCTGCCATCAAAGACTGGGCCCAGTTTGTGGAAAGATTGTGTTTTTTTTTCCCCCAGGCAAATGACAATGGGCAGATGAAAAGCAACGAGTAATTCTCCTGACTGCTTGTGGACCCTGCCACTTTTTTGGTTATTAGCATAGAGGATTTTTATGCAAAGCTGGCAGGGAGACTGTCCTTCACGAAGCTGGACGTGAGCCATGCATACTTGCAATTGCGGTCATATATGAAATCCCAGAAGTATGCTATAATTAATACCCATAACGGTTTGGAGCAATATACGAGAATGCCACTTGAAGTACCATCAGACAGTGCAATTTTTGAGTGGACAACAGAGAACATTTTACAAGGTTTACCCCAGGCTAACAACAGGGAAGACCAATAAGGAGCACCTGTAGAACTCGGACATCGTCCTTCCACCTTTCTCTCAAGCAGGCCTTAGAACAGAAAAATATATGTTCCAGGCACACACCACTTATTGGGCTACAGAACCAACAAGACCAGGTTACACCCATTGGAAAATAAAAGGGAGGGCGATCAAAGGTGCCCCAGTTCCCACGTCTGTCATAGAGCTTAGGTCTTTCCTTGGGCTGTTGGATTATCATAGAAAGGTCGTACATAACCTGGCCTCCATCCTGACACCTTTGCATCAACTCTAAAAGAGGTTTAGCCTTGGAAATGGTCACACAGCCAAGCCATAGCTTTCAGGGAAGTGATGAAACGGTTATCATCCTCTACGGTGCTGCTGCACTACGATCCCAAGCAAGATTTGGCACTGACATGCTATGCCTCCCTGTATGGCATCAGGGTAGTATTAGCTAATTGGTGCCCCCGTATGTGGAGACAGGAAATTCCACCAATAACTTTATGCACGTAAATTTGTAATAAAAACGGACCACAAGCCCCTTCTAGGTTTACTTAAAGAGAACAAGGCAATGCCACCCATAGCTTCAGGCCGAATTCTGTGGTGGGCTCTAATTCTAAATGCATGTAATTACAACTTGGAACACCATCCCGAAGGCGAAACAGCAAATGCAGATGCACCGTGCTGCGTCCTGCTGGCAGATACACTACCAGTGGTACCATCACTAGAAGAGTCCATAATAGTTTTAAATTTCCTGGACACACTTCCAGTCATAGCTGACAATATCAGATTTGGACGCAGAAAGATCGTGCCCTGGCAAAACAAACAGCTAGTGGCCATGGGGGAAACCAAAGGGCTGTCACAACCAGAGTTGAAACCCTTTTCTGGACCCGGAGACCAGATCACAGCAGAGGATGGCATATTGATATGGGGAGCAAGAGTGACTGTCCTTAGCAAAGATCGCCGCCAGATACTGGCTTAACTCTACTAGGGTCATCCAGGGGTTTCCAAAATGAAAATGTTGGTGAGAAGTTACGTATGGTGGCCAAGATTTGCTGCTGACACAGCCACATTGGTGGGGCAGGGCCGAGAGTGCCAACAAGGATAAAAATCACTGCCATCAGCTCCCTCACATTCGTGGGAATGGTCAGCTAAACCCTGGTCTTGGTTATACATCGACCATGCACATCCTTTCACAGGCTCAGCCTACAGCTTTGCTAGACACCATTTTGTACCAGTTCCTATTACTTATCGGACCATCCTTCATGCAACTACAGGGATAGCTCCAGCAGAGTTACTAATGGGAGAAGAGGGGAGAAATGGTATCATAGAGCTATACATCATGCAAACAGACCCTTCAGTCCAACTCATCCATGCCGACCAGATATCCTAAATTAACCTAGTCCCATTTGCCAGCATTTGGCCCATATCCCTCCAAACCCTTCCTATTCATTTACCCATCTAGATGCCTTTTAAATGTTGTTATTGTACCCACCTCCACCACTTCTTCTGACAGCTGATTCTGTACACACTGCACCCTTTGCATGAAAAAGTTGCCCCTTTGGTCCCTTTCCTCTCTCACCTTAAATCTATACCCTGTAGGTTTGCACTCCCCTACCCTGGGGGAAAAGGTCTTGGTTATTCATCTATCCATGCCCCTCATGATTTTATAAAGTTACCCCTCAGCCTCCAGTGCTCCAGGATAAATAGCCCCAGCCTATTCAGCCTCTCCCTATAGCTCAAACTCTCCAACCCTGGCAACATCCTTGTAAATCTTTTCCAAACCCTTTCAACTTTCACAGCATTCTTCCTTCAGCAGGGAGACCAGAACTAACGCAGCATTCCAAAACTGGCCCAACAAATGTCCTGTACAGCCACAACATGACCTCCCAACTCCTATACTCAATGCATGCCAATGCCAGACACAGACTCCGCTAAGCGAGACACAGTTTACTTCACAGGGACAAAGTTTGGTGTAGGAACCACTGGAAAAGCCCTATTTGACTAAGGGGCATGGCTGATACAGTCAGGTCCAGTGACCGTGTATATAAAGTTCGGGTCAGTGCAACGGTCCTGAACAAGCTCATGGGTCACATGAGAGCTGCAAACTCGCAAACGGTGCGGGAACAAAACGTGCCCAGCTCCTCAACCGTCTCTCTAACTGTTTGGAACCAGCGAGTTCTCCCTCTCTGTCAAGCATTGAAGATACCTCGGAACCAAGAAATCAGTAGCTGCAAATGGTGCCCACTGAATACCACTGTATACCACTGTATTTGTTGCCCACAACTTGGTCTGCTCTACACTGAGGAGATGAAACACAGACTGGACAACCGCTTTAAGGAACACCTACGTCGGTCCACAAAAATGACCCTAAGCTTCCTGTTGCTTACCACTTCAACGCACCACGTTCCTTGGCCACAATCAATCTCAGGCTTGCTGCAGCACTCCAACGAAGTTCAGCGCAAGCTGGAAGATCAGCATCTCATTTTCCACTCAGAGACCCTGCAGCCTTCTCGACTTAGTATCGAGTCCAAACACTGTACAGCCTGAGTACTTCTCAGTCCTTACTCCAAACATTACGCCTGGCCTCATCATCATATGGGCTGCTACCACAACCAACCAATTTCAGCTAGCAATGGTCAGCAGCAGCTGTTGATTCTCCCAAAGGCTGACCTTTAACCATTCATTTGTCTCCCGATTCTTGTTCTCTTCCTCACTCCCTGGGGTCCATCTTAACCTATTGTTTACTCCTCCCCTTCAGCTCTTCAGCACAGATACCAACATTTTCCGAACTACAATCAGTTTTGAAGAAGGGTCAATGGACCTGGAACATGAACTCTGCTTTCTCTCCACAGATGCTGCCAGACCTACTGAGTTTTTCCAGCAATTTCCATTAGTGTTTTCGATATCCAGCATCCACAGTTCTTTGGTTGTTTTGCACAGCTGTTCTTTGTTTATAACATTGTTTTTCATCCCCTCAGTGAATTTTTAATATTTACTCAAGATAACTGAAGTATCTTTCATTATTTGTTTACTTCTGTTCTTGCCAAAATCTTAACTTTTCTCTCATAGCTTTTTATGTAAATGTACAAGATGGCCTCAATCTGAAGTTCCAGGGCAATTATAGCTTTTGCGGAAAACATCACTGGCTTAGTACTGCACTGAAAGTTTGGCTTTTTAAGCAAAGGCTGAATTCATTAATGTGAAATTATGTTAGTCATATAACTGAAAGAAGTGTCTCTCAAGTTCAAAGATGAATGATCATTAGTATCCATACAGTCTACAATTTCCAACAAATGCTTTGCACAAAGTTTTGTTTCAATGTTAATTGCTCAATTTAATGAAAATAGTACCTTTTGACGCACTGTTAAATGAGGACACCACTACAGAACAAGTGGTTGAAGATGGTGACAAGATTGACGGACTGCTCCCAGATCCAGCTTCAATGCATTTTGATTTCTTTGAAGTAATATTGTTTGTCTCACAGATTGCTGGACGCTTGTTACTGACATTCGTGCTCTGGGCTGCATTTGCTGAAATGAAGAAAATAAATTTGGTTCATTGTAGCAGTTAAAAAATATACTCAAGTGTCAAATTCATGGAGTCGAATGAAAAACATTCCTTAACATCACCATCCTATTTTAATACCATTAATGAGGTGCAGGTAATAACCTGACTAAAAGGTTCCAGTAGACTCCTCATTTAGATTTAATAAGTTTTATTATTTAGCAGTTCAGATATTGTGTTTTAAAATTATTTGTTGGATTTTGCAGGCATGAAGAGGAGAAGAAAAGAAATCACCAGATATTTCCTTAAGTACTTAGAGAATTAAAATGCTTAAATAATTTCTTGCCAAACTGAAATATTTACATGCAAGATATATGAAAATATTTCACGCTTGGTCTCCCAAATGGAGAACATCAACTTAAAATAACTGATCTGCTGAGAGTGGTTAAACTGACAGGAGCTACCTCCAATTGCTGATTTACACCTGACATTTTGGATTGCTTGCCAACTACAGTAAAGTCCAATTTAACTAACATAAATGCCTCCACTCTCATCACCAGCAATTTTTCAGATAAAGGGCCTCCCTACTCAAGCTGTTATACTGGCATTTCTTTGATGAAAATGGACATGGCACAAATATGCTTTGAGCAACAAGAAAAGGATGCAGTGAATCTAAACAAGGTGTCATGATAGCAACCTGATCCTAATCATCTGCAAAATAATATGATCAATAATGTCAGATAACGGCACCTAGTCAACAATAATTTGTTTGTGAACACAAAGCTTTGATTTGGAAAGCCACAATGCCAAACTTCATTACAGCTTTGATCCAGAAACAGAGCAAAACATGATCAGAAGAGAGTGCAAGAAACAAAACGGAGACCAGGGGTTGAGAAGGAAACCAGCCAGTGGCAGGAAACACACCTGATACACAGGAAGATGGTCACACTCATAAGAAGCTAATAATCATAACATCAGATGTTCTCAGCCTAATCATTCATAACTGCTTAATCATAAGATGGCAACTAGGGCAGTCTGAAGGAATTTCTGAACTACCCTTTCACAGAAAAGATTCGGGAAAATAAGATACTTAAGTTTGAAAGCAAATTTTCCACATCAGTTTAAAGAAAAAATGGCATAGAGATGATTGCCTCAAAACGTAAATTCCACAGAAAAACATTTCAAAAACATTACACGTTAGCCTGTTAATTTTCAATAAATACCCACAAAAAATTTGTTAGACAGGTCCACGCCCTGACTGTCAAGCATGTTGGTTAGGTCCTCGACTTTGGATGTGAACACAGAAATAAAAGAATAGACAAAAATAGGAAGCCAGGCCCAGTAAATGCACTGAAGGTTTTATTAATATTTTAAAATAGAAACCTAGGGAGGACAAAAGCAGAAAGTGTTAGAAAATCTCAAAGTCTGGCAGCATCTGTGGACAGAAATTAGAGTTAATGTTTAGGGTCGAGTGACTTCTTCAGCAGAGTAATTAAGAGTTAAAACCTTAAATGACAGTGTAGCTGTCTATGCCTTTCCGAGAGATAGGGTCAGGTGCAGGGCTGCACTATAATGAGGATCTTGCAAATACAGATCTACATTTTTATTGCCAGGCAATTGCACCAGTCTGCAAGAAATGGTTCCTGCCATCTTCACAGGTGGAACCAATGAGGACTCGTTGCCTTCCTTCATGACTTTGCTGAAAACAGACCTAATTTCACAAGTGTCCTTCTTAGGAAGTATGCATCATCATGGCAAGTCTTGCATTCATTTATTGTTGCAAAACCATTGGGTTTGTTGTTCCAGCTCACTTTAGGAAAATAAGCTACTGCATACATTAATTTACTTATTCTTGGCAAATAACACTTCTCTTTAAAACTTGATCCACATCTTTTGTTTGCAATTCTGCTGCTTTTCAATCTTTCGGCAGTGATAATAGCAGCGAGAATGTTATTTATTTAACAATAGTTCACCAAGACTTCAAACAGAATTATGACATAGACAGGCCATTTGGCCCATCATACCCAATCTCCTGCCTTTCTCCCACATCGTTGCACCATTTCTATCCAAGTAATCATCCAATGCACCGTTGAATGCCTAAACTGAATGTGCCTCCACCACATTTCCATGCAGTGCATTCCATATCCTGACTCTTATATGTGAAAAAAAGTTTCTTCTCACATTGCCCTTGCTTCAGTTGGACGTAAAATCTATAAAATTGACTTAAAATCTATCCCCTCTTGTTCTTTTTTCCTTAAAAGAGCAGAAATAGTTTCTGCCCATCAACTCTATCCAACGTGCTCATAATTTTGAAAAACTCCATCAAATCTCCTTTCAATTGCCTTCTCTTTCTAGGAACAGTCTTTTTCAATCTATTCCCAGAACTAAAAGTTTCTAATTTCTGGAACTATTCTTGTAAATTGCTTCTGTACTCTGTTCACATCTTTCCCCGCAAGTAGCGCCCACAATGGCACATGATACTCCAGGTGAGGTCTAACAAGTGTCTTATGTAAGTTCAACATCACCTCCCTACTCTTGTACTCTCTGCCCTAATAATAAAGCCAAGATGGCTGTATGCTTTATTAAATGCACTCTCCACCTGTCCTGCCACCTTCAAATCATCTCTGCTCATGTACATGCAGGTCTTTTTGTTCCTACACCCACTTTAGAATTGTGCCCCCTACTTTATATGGTCTTTCAAAAGTTCTTTCCATCACCAAAGTGCATCACTTCATACTTCTCTGCATTGAAACTGATCAGCCACCTACTTGTCCACTCCTCCAACTTAGGTCAGAAACAGAAAGAACAAAATCCACAAAACTTATGTGGAATATCTTTGTGTTACAATGCTATTAACAAGAACTTAAAATTTGAGTTTTCAATTCAGTGACTTTGAACATTAGGTTTCTCCAATGTTATTTAGAGATCATGCTGCACACAGGAAACTGCACGCACCATATTCTTGCTCAATTTTCAACATGAAATGAACTTCCTCTCTGCTTGACTGGAGAGGAACACAAGCAGAACTGACAAAAGATTAAACCTTGAAATGTGTCTTTATCAATTAGAGAATCAATTTCACAAATGACGTCAGGAGCCTCCTTGTCTTCACCACTCACACTTTTGACTGATCCACATTTGGATCAATTTGATTGTGCTCCAGTTTCTGCCCTGCACAAAATTTGCAAATTGTTCACCCTCTGGTGACCTTCAGTCCAGGAAATTGGTTTTAGCATTCTCCTTTTACGAATTCTAATTCTTCTGTGGCATTGTCATCAACTTCCCAACTTTACATTCTGTTCTTTGGATAATGAAATTCTGTTCCTCTTACCGTCATTCAGATGCCAGTGTTTCAGTCACCGCAATCCAAATCACTCTTCAGTTTCTTTTGTTTTATCTTGCCACTTCCATCCCTGCCTTCAGAAACGGCTAACAGATTTCTTTCAAATCATGTCTTGTTTGTCTCCTCCCTTCAATTCCCTGGTGTCCCAGCACACCTAGATCTCCTCCATGCAAAATGCACATGGCTGAGAGTTTTGAAAACTAGGCAAAGAATATATTTCTCAACATGATAGATTGAGCTCCAAGCGTTCACACTGAGAAAAAAAAAGTATTTCCTTTCAAAATAATTTAGTAGAGAGTCAGTATCAAGACATTAGACTAGAAACTGTCAACAAATTTGAAATTTGCAAACTCATGTGGTTTGATTTTGCAACTTGGCAGAAGAAGAATAGTTAGAGTTGAAACCAATAATTAAAAATAATTACACAAAGATTGAAGAAATAGAAATCTCAAGTGTGCAATGCATGGAAATAGATTCTGATCCCTTAATGAGACTCCATAACCGTGCACTGCATGCAGAAATGGAAATAACCAATCAATTTCACCAGAACCATGGGATGCAAGACCACAAGATATAACGGTGAGGCTTTCCAATGCACTAACTGAATCATACTTAGAATAACCTGTTAAGTTTGGGTCACTTTGGGTATAAGTTAAATGTACACCCCTGGAAAAGGTACACACTGATCCTATATAATCCTATATAATCAATGAAAAATACTTGGAAGTTTATGCTTTATAGTAGTGGTATCTTCTTAAGCACTAGATCACATTTTGAATCTAAGTACAATCCAGGAACTACCTGCAAGAAGTTACAGAATAGAGAGGTTATTTTCAGTGCTACATAAATCTGAATTAGGCATATATAATTATTCATTTTGTGACAGTGTGATGTCTATGACTGCACATTATCTGCCAATGCCTTGAAGCTTGCGCTGTAGTTTGAGACTACTACTCTTTACACAGTGCAATACATGGACTTGATTAGCTTCATTTGGGAGAATGTTGTCTCACAACATTACTTTGGAGCTTTAGAGCACAGGATTGAAGAAATAGATATTTTTCCTCTGTTCAAGTCCCCAAAAACAGCTGCCCTTTGGACTTTCAGTTCAATGTACTTTTGTATTGTGATTATCTCTATAACAACGCTGCTGTTTTGTAAACCAAACACCAAATGGAATTTGGTAGTCAACCTATAATGTCTACTTGAATAAGTAGATTTGAGACAAACCTGATTTGTTTCATCACATAAAATTCTAGAAATTGCTTGCTGAATTCCTCAGCTAAATTCCTCAGGCATGCAGAAAGGTTTTCTGTGTGGAACTTCTTTTAAATCCTTCTCTTTTTTTTTTCTCGCATCTTCAGACTTGAAGTGTTATAGCATTTTATATTTTAATTAGGAGGTACACAGGCTTGATTTCAATTTGAATGCATTCCCAGCTCAGTATGTGTGTTTAGTCTCTGTCCTATCCCTTCAGCTCACAGTTCAGCTCATTCAGTTTTAACATCATCCAGAAGGGCTTTGAACTCAAGCAACCACAAGTTGTCTAACAGTTCATCACACACTTCATTCCTGGATTAAAGAAAAGTGACAATTTCAGGGATTAGATCTAAAAATTTTTGCAGGATTTTCCTTTGACTTACCAACACCTCACATCAGCATGGAGGATTAGTACAAGGTAGG